ATTATAGTGCCGTGTCTCCTTTTTTTTTCAGCTGCCACGCAGTTCAATTTGTCCCAGCGCCCCTCTATCAAAAAGGTGAGATTACAGCGAGCCACGTTGTCTGCGGTTTCGTCTAGACGATCTTAAAACACCACGTCTCCATTCCACATCGCAATGCGATAGCGCCTTTGTGAAGTGTCGGATTCTACTAAACGGTCGTATACTTTGATATGAGAGATTTGTGTGTCACGTATGTTATCAGAGACTTGTATGCCGCATTGTTACGAAGCCCGACGGTCATTCAGTAGCACTCAGACATGTCATTCAGAAAGTGCTGAGGTCGATATTGCGAGGGTTTCACGACATTACACAGCTACACTACGCCCTTGAAAGCTAGGGCTGACAAAATTCGTTGACGAAAGCTGATCTTGAAACAAATGCCACAAACAAAACGCAAAATTATGTAATATTAGGTGTTAAAATTGTGATTTGATGAAGAAGTACGCCGTAGTATTGAATGTCCTCTCTAACTTTGCTAACCTTTGTTTCTTCAAGGAGCACCTGAAGATAAGCACACTGATAATTCCTCATGTCGTCCCCGCTAAAACGCGGCAGCTGCGTCGGTCAGGACTGAATGTGTGATCTCCAACATCATGCTGTGAACCACACAGACACTGAGAAATATACCATATAGCAGGTAACTTAACGGTCTCTAACCAACAAAGTCGGCAATATCTATGACAGCTTTACGACAATTCTTGCGTAAGTGCCGAGTAAAAAAGTACGGTATTCTCTATGTAGTCTTCGCAGTGATATATTTAATCGAGTACACATTGACACACTAGAAACACGAGCCACTATTCAGTTAACACGAGTGTATATATTTGATACCAGGCAATCTCCTCGGTGGAAGCTTAGCCCCCAACAAGCCTCGTCTTCAAGAAAAAAAACTGAAACAGATGACCACATGCCAATTGAAGCCATGTGAGATTACTTGGCATGTGATGCAAAATGATGCTTTTCTTTGATTTTTCGTTTTTTTTCGCAGTCATAGTCCTCATAACGGCGCTCATGGTAAGCGAAGGAGTATTTTCTTTTTATGTCCATGGTGGCACTGGCGGTATACGACTGTAATATCTTCGCCCGCTCCGGTGTGCAGCGCGGATTTCGGCCTATATGACGGCAAAAGCAGGGAAGCAATGTGGTGGTGATTGGCAAAAAGCGAACCAGAGCCCTCACGATGCGGGTATTTTACACGCGTCGATGCCGAACGGCCATGGCAGCCCTGTGCCGGCTTAAACGCCACCTGTACTTGGCGTTTATGTGAGGCGCTGTGCCTCACGCACGAATTACGGAACAAGAATCGTTGGAAGATAAAGAATTCAAGACAACAACGAATCGTCAGAAGGAGAATGTCACTATAGAGCCAACTCGTCTCCGTCTATATGAGAGTCATAAAGAGGGTGCCTTATCATTCCTTGCAATATGCGCATCTGTCTAGTTATCACTTGAGAAGAACTGCAGAGTCGGCAGTGCTTTCGTTTCGAACCAAGGCGCTTGAAAGGAGATTTGACAGCAGGCTTTGAGGCGAGTATGAATGGTGCACGTTATCTATAATGGTTTCACGATGACCAGTGAAATTGTCAAGGATGAAAGAATCCAACCGTTAGCAGCGTACGCTATGCAAATTATTATCTATGCACAAATGTTTTGAACGAAGTGTGCTACTGAGAAAGATCAGTACCAAATACTGCACAGCGTATTGTGGGGTGATTTCCGTAGGGCGAAAGGGAAACGCTTGCTTGTGCCCGTGCTCTCTCTGTGCCGCGCTGTCAAGAGCTCCAAGGGAACTCTGGCACGCGCATTTATTGAAAATGTTTCAACCGCTATTTGTAGATTGTGGAACATCTTGTAATAGGAATGGATCTTAGGTCACGTCCGTCACTGACACAGGAGAGCTATACTAGTGATCCCGCATCCTTAAGAGAAAACCAACGGAGTTCGGGGAAGTCAGGCAGTCGTTCGGCTTGTCTTACTCTGCACTCACGGTGTTCATTTTTCCCTCTCCTTACATGCCCCTTCCTTCTACAGCGCTGTAAAATACGTAACTATATACACGCTACTCTAATTGATATTCCTATACTACTATTATTTTACCCCCATCTTAATTGACTGGAAAGTGTATAACACAGAGTATGCAGTATGTTCTGTCATCCGCACGGTGTCCAGTGGCTTCCTAAAAAACAACCCTTCCTTGTCTTTCGTTTTTTGCTGGAAATGAGTGGACGATTGCACCGTCATGGTAGCAGCGTCTAAGTGGTATACACCCAAACACTTTAGACACGTAGACCTGCGACTCTGCCATAACGCCCTCTTTCCACGATGTCATGGTAGTGTTCTTAAAACACTCCAAACCTTAGTCACACCTTTGTCTCCACAAACATATAGATTGCGACAATCGTTTCCTTACAAAAAGAGAAAAAAGAAAGTTGTTTGATCCCTATATCTATCAAATTATCACACCTTATTTTGCTAAGAAGAACGTGGTATCAGCTAGTTGTCTCACTTTACTTGTCTATAACAATCACGTAGCACTGGCGACAGCCTTTTATAGTTCCTATTCCGCGCTGGATCTACAGCGTAACTTGCGGGCGGAATATATTTCAAGCGCAATTAATGGGCAATTTACCGGCCACGGCGGCCTATAGTATAGCTGTATACAGTGCTCGATTACTGCCTTAAAGGTCACGGGATCGAATCCCCGCCATGGCGGCCGCATTACGGTGAAGGCAAAATGCTAGAAGTGGACGTTAAATAACATCAAATGGTCGAATGTTGCGGAGCCCCCTATTAAGGTATTCCCCACAATCGCACGGTGGTTTGGAGACGTACACCCACACAAATACCCGCTCAAATCTTCAACTATAGCGTATGCAGTGGTGGCTGTTTTGTGCGTAAGCGTCATATGATGGAACGAAGTTCGAAAAAAAAATTGTTTTGTGGGCAAGCGCTTTGAAGGCATGCATTTGCCCTCACCCTCTTTGAAACTTAATTCAGGCATATGGCAAAGATACGCAAAAAATACTATAGCTCGCGTACCCCAGTGCATTAAGAGGGTGAATGTACAATCCCTACAATTACTATTAATTGTACACTTGCGAGTCGGTGCCATGTCGTGTTTGCCTCCCTTCGTTCACGTCAAAAAGTTGCGTTGTTGCCGTAAGCACGATGAATCCCTTATCCAGGCGGTATTTCTCCAGCATTCCCGACACTTTCGTGTGCGCATTTTTTCGCTTCTATTTCTGGCTCTTACCACCAGCATCGAGGGGGCCGATCGTATGAGAACAAGGCAATCATATCGTTCAGCCACGCCAGTCAATGCCCTCGTCGGTGTCTGCTCCGTCATCCGCGCGGGCATGACGTTTTGCTCGGTGGTACACCTGTTTTGCTGCGCGCACGACGAAATGCCTCTCAACAACAAGAATGCGACAGCTGTGCTTCAGTTGTGCTGTATCAGCCTCGCAAGGGTTCGTGATAGCGAGCTTCCACGATTGCGGATCCCACTTCTCTTTCACTTCGCATTTCTCTTTCAGGAAGCGATTATCTCAGCTCCGCATTGTGTTTGAAATGCCTTCATCACATTTCATCATCATTTATCCGGCTGTCTGGAAACCAAATAGTGCAACTTGATAGTGGTTACTTGCGATTTATTGATATGTGGAGTTTAACGTCCCAAAGTCACCATATATGGTTATGAGAGACGTCGTATTGGAGGGCTCCGGAAATCTGGAACACCTGGGGTTCTTTAACGTGCACTCAAATCTGAGCACACGGGCCCACAGCGTCTTCACCTCCTTCGAAAATGCAGCCATTACAGCCGGCATTCCATCCCGCGACCTGCGGGCCAGCAGCCGAGTACCTTCTATAGCCACTAGACCACCACGGCGGGGCATTGTCGATTATTTTTGAAGACTGTTTCTTGCAATAGGCGTTTCGTACAGATATAACGTCTCCTGTGGTTGATACGTAGCATCCACAGTAATTTTTATAATCATACTATACTTTAATAATTTGGAGAGGTCGAATACAACGCACGAACACGTGGTTATTCTTCAATTTTTTTACTCTCGTGTTTGCATTTTCAATGAAGTAAACATCACTAAGTGAAACGAATTTTCATCACAGGGCCGTAAAAAAAAACGTTTGCATAACTTGCACGCAGGATCCGTATTAGTTTGACCAATATTCCATTCCGCGTGACTTTTAGAGAGGGAGAGACAGGTTTATTTACAGAAAGGCAGAACATGACCTTTAGAATGTTGACTACATATGTGCTAAGATGCTGCTAGCAAAAGAAACAGTCATTACTTTTTATAAACCGTTATCTCGAGTGTCGTGCACACGCCTCTGATGAGACCTAGTAGGCTAAGTGCTTAAGTCGCGGATTGTAGCCCGGTCGGTCACATTTCGGTCGAGGCGGACTACTACAAGTATGTGTACACTGGAACGTCTGTGCACGTTAAAGAGTAGGAGAATATATAATTTTGCGGGATCCTTCACTGCAACGTGCCTCATAATTATACCATGACACGTAAAGTCGCAGTAATCCTTATAAAAGCTAAGTGATTTTCTGAAGCCAAGTCTGTTCAAGTTAAGGAGGTAGCTCTCCAACGTGACTTCTGAATAAGATCTCACAGTCTTCTCAACTCAACACACACACGCACACACAAACGCACAGCAGCTATAGAACAAGGGCTTGTTTGAGAAGAACGAAGAGCTCTAGTCTCTTTCGACCTAACATATCAGCAAGCACTATGCAACTCACGTTACGGAACAAAACGAAACAAAAACAAAACGCGCAAGGTTTGAAATGAACACCACAAGAAAGGATGCGCTCGTAAAGACAGAGAGCAAAGTGTAAAGTGTAATGTAGCGTAGTAAAAAAAAGGATGTAGTACACTGAACCAACTAGCGACCTCAAAATGTTTTGATCAATGCAACACGAGTTTTCTCCAACTCACCTTGGTCTGTAATGGCTGGTGATATTTTTTCGCTGTTGTTTCTCGAGCCGAGGTCGGGTCGCAACGGTTGCGATAGCGTGGGCGGGGGTAGGTCTCGACTTGTTCCTCCGAAGGGCAGCTGGCCGGTGAGGACCGGTGGCGCGCGGATTTCGAATGAGCGAGAGAAAGGCGGGGCCTCGACGAAGTTCTCTCAGACGCCGGTCCAAGCACGTGCGATAAAAGCGAAAGTCACACTATCTACGCCACTGCGCGCCGAGCCTTCGTCGAATGCACACTGCTCGTTCTTAATCTCTCTCTCTCTCCTTTGTGTTCGCTTGCACACAGGCGAGGAACACCGTAGCCGATTGCTTGCAGTTTTGGGACGCCCGATATCGGAACGGGATCGACGAAAAAAAAATGCGCGTTATGGGTCGTGCCTCCAAAACAATGTGTGCGCTCTGTTTGGGACCGGCGCGGTCTTTATGTGCCCACCGGTGGCGCAGGCGCATCGTCCTCCGCGCTCCTCGATTGGTCCGGAGCGAGGACTTCCCTCGCACCCGAGGGCAACGATGCCCTCCACCACCGAGGAGGAGAGTAGAGAGCGCGCGAGTGGTTGTGGCTCAACAGGTGTACACCCGATGAGTTCGAGTATGGGTAAGGGCAAGGCGAGTGTGGGGGGAAACCCAAACGCGGTGGCTTTTCGCGACTTTCTGCGGGGCACGCGTTTTTTTTTTTTTTTTTTCGGGGAGGCGGGGCTCGTTCGCATGTGCGTACAGTGACGTTGTAGTGAGTGTGACGCGTCACGACTGAAAGCGCGATGAAACGCTCGAAGGTTGGCGAGCATGGCTCCTTTTCGTGCAAGCCCAGGACGATCGCTTCCTGCGCTGCTAGCCGCGCATTGCGAGAGTCCAATACGCTGTGCAAATGCGGAACAGACGCACGCTCGAGGTGACAAGTGCGGTGCGAGTGTAATATAGGTTCCGGGTAAGTACGCTATCTGGCTCCCTCTGACCCGATGCGATGACCGGCGTCCCAACTTAAGCCGTCAGCACGTGGTCTAGCAAAAACGCAGCAGTAAGCGTACTTACATTTCATATTTGGTTGTCACGATGGGCGCACGTTTATATTCAGCAGGTCCGACAATATTCGCGTAGCAGCGTGAGAAAGCGAAGATTTTAGGAAATACCCTTGTTTGATAGCATGTTAGCATGGTCCGATTACCAAGAGTTTGAGTTTGAGTTTATTTAACCACGTGACAAGCATACGAAAATACACTGTATACGTGGTTCTGTGCGAAAGGAAAAAAGCTGCATTTCGCAGCTTGACTGGCCCCTTCACCCAGAAAAAAACTAAACTACGCATTTACAAAAATGTAAAAATACAAAAAAGAGAAACATAATTATATATAAAAAATTAGAAGAGTGGTATTGGGGCACTCATAGCAGGGAGAAACCCCCTGAAAACCTCCCCTTTCTGAAGTGTACCATGTATTCGACCATTTTATTGTACTTTTTCAACTACACAGTCATGGACTAACTTCTGTGTACCTACTCATACTTCTGCAAGCCGGCTCCCGCGTGGATCTCAAAGTAACTTGAGACTTTATGCACGAATAACTATAAATATGCTCAGCATACAACTTAGTGTATTCGAAACCGAATCCCACGGAGTAGTAATCGTAGGTTTCACAGTTGAGTCACTGCGCTGAGTCTACGGCTGATTCAAATATTGAGAATGAAAAGCTTGGTCTCGTCACTACAGCTGATATAACAAACATGGCGGCACGCATTGTAGCATACCGAAAATCAAACCGATGCGAAATATTCTAAGCGATGACTGCGGTAAAAATGTAGGCATGATATTAGAGAGGACACTGAAAAAAAATCGTCACGTTTCTGCGCTTCTACGTCATCTTTGGTTCATGTAATGACATCTCAACCATAAAATGAAGGTACTTCTCTTACATCACAATTTTTTTATTTATAAAGTTCTCATTGAGTATAAGTCGTCCAATTCTAGATCATTCGTTCGCAGTGAATGGGTGCCGCATGTACAGAACACACAACATCCACGAGAGAGAACGCTACCTACACAATATTTCTTTTTTTTTTTTGCTTTACAACAAAACCTTGCTTCACGAGCCATTGTGAATGCATAAGGAACTATGTGACGCTTCACACTCATCGCACCTTTACCCACGCCCGAAAACGAAAGGTGATGCTATATCTCAGGAGACCTGTGATTAGCTTACACTGCACTCAGCAGCTAAACCAGCAAGCTTCTGCGGATGCTTCAGTTTGTAACAAAAACAAAGCTGGATAGACCAGTAGGATATAGAAAAAAAAAGAGGAAGCTGAGCGTATCTACATCTGTGCTGCTTCATATATAAAATATAATGAAAATACTAAGAAAAAAAGGAAGGACAATAATATTTTTTTTTTATTGATTTAATTTCAGACAACCCGTGTACACAGTTTGCCTAGGGGATCGGCGTAAAGGCAAAGAAAGCCTGACAAAGCGCCAACCCCCTATGTACACACATACATAAACAGGTTATATATAGCAGTACAAAAATTGAGAAATTGAGATACATACAATATCAAAAAACATTTACAATTTTTTTTTTACATCAAGCCAGTATTAACAAAGAAATGAACAGCAATTATGAATTAGCACATAAAGAAATAATAAGAGACTATTTACGCACAACAAACAGGCAGACAAAAGCAAAAAAAAAATTCATAAAGTCACAGCAGCACATAAAAGTTACATAAAATAAAATGAATCGAAAGAGGTATGAGAATCTGTTTTGAGTTTTTAGAAGGAATGTGTGTATCTTCTTTTTGAAAACATAAATGGAGGAACTTTGTTCAATTAATGCCATCACAGTGGGGTGTTCATTAAGAAAGTGGGGAATTTGGTAAGTTAGTTTTTGTGTACCGTAATTTGTACGAAGCGTAATAATATTAATAATGAAAACATTCTACACCTGAGGACGCCTAAGGTAGGTTTAATAAGTAATATTACATCTTTCAAAAATGAAGCTTGTTCGTCCATGTTTTTTATAGTTTTATTTGACATACTTACTTTATTCGATAGTCATCACAATAATAATAGTAATAATTGAAGCTTTATGCTCCAAGCGCATAATATGGTCGTAAGAGGCGCCGTAATGGAAGGCTCCGAAATTTCCTACCAGTTGGGGTTCTTTAACGTGCACCTGAAACATCCAGCGCTTCGCCTGCATTCAAATGCGGCCGCCACGGCCGGGATTCAATCACGCTCGGACCAGCAATGGGGCACTATAGGCCACCGTGGCGGGTATTGAGCATTGCTCATTATTCAATATACCAGTGGCCATATTGCCGACAGTGGAAGTGCACCAGCAGTATCAAACAGTCACTCCTGCTCATACTTACGTTCATACTCACTTCTTCTCACACTCCGAGTACTCACTCACGTTAATACTCACTTCTATACTCATGAGTATTCACTCAAACTCGCACAGATGTCCACTCACACTTACGAATACTCGCTCATACTCACACTTACCTCGTTCAAATGAGTATATGTGTGAGTGAGTGTACTCACAAGTTAGTATGCCGAGCTATGATCAAACGTGATCGCTCTTACCGCAGTAATCGGAAACACCTCCGTTCATAAAGGATTACGACATAAAGTATAGAGAGGACAGTGAAAAAGGTGTATTCTCTGAGACATTGTCTTATCTGCGTGTATTATATTACTACAACCAATACATTCCTTGATTCCCTACTTTAGCACATAGAAATGGCTCGCGAGCAGTGCCCTTTACCTCGATATTTCCTATAAAGAAAGCCTCGCGTAAGACTAATGGAACGTGCTGCTAGGCTGTTTGATTCATATGTTCGGTTCATAAGGCAGGACCCTCTGCCGAAACGCTGGATTGAGATGCACCCATCATTCGACTGCTTGGTATGCATGGGCCCTCTTGGCCAAATTTGAACGGCATCCGTCGCGTGGCAGTTATTTTAATTCAATGTCAAACAGCGTAGAAAAGTTAAGGAGGAAAAACGGAAAATAGACTGCCGGACACTAGTGCTACGTGTTCGGTGTGATACATTCTACAAATACCATTCTGAGTGACGATGCCCAAGTAGCGATGACGAGTATGATCCGAGTGTACTTATGGCGGCGCCGACTGGCGCCAAAGCGCGGAAACGCCGCTCGCTCGTCGCGTATTATCTTCTTCGCACCGGTTTGAATGATTTCGCGAAATTATCAAGATAAAAACCACCTTTAGAAGAAGGGCGAAAAAAAGGAGCATGATTAAACGTGTGTTTGTCAGTCAGCATGTCGGGGAATCCTTGCGAGTTGCAGGTGAGTTGCTGTCGTCTAGTTCGAAGCACAAAAAAAAACGCAGTGAGGGTGTCTTTTCATGTCACGTATGCGTTACACATCAACACGAGCTACCAAAAGTAGAACAGCGTATAGTCAGATATCATCGCTAAAAAGTAACACGCAGGTATCCTTGAATTTAAGTTCATCTGTAGACTTTGCGTCCACGTAAAAGTGGTAATACCGCGTTAACCACGAGAGGCTGGATAAGTGAGGTCATCTGGAGGCGCAAAAAAAAAGCCTGGCAAGCAGGAAACGTATTCTATTTCTCCGCTGATGCTCATTCGCAATAGCTATATTGCATTGACCCCTCTGCGTATACCTGAATGATTTGCACGCCAAAATACACCAATATAGCTAACTGAGACACACGAGCGAACATGGCTGAACCGTGCATACTCGGGCACCTCTGCAGTGCTACTTGGAACGGCATCCGTTTCACAATCACTGTTCTGCAAAACGTCGATCGAAGCAAAAATAATTCGCGACGTCGCGAATCGCGGGGAATCCAAGCTCCCGACTATCGTATTGAACCTGAGTCGGCCCTTTGTACGGCGACGACAGCAATGCAGGTGACAAGGCATGACTGAATGTGTGCGCGCCTAGCAGACGAAATGTTTGCGGAGCAGCTGAGCCTGACGTCACTCTTTTCTGTGGAAAAGTGGTCAGCTGTGGCGTGATCTGGAGGTGACCGCGAGGTAGCGCCACTGCTGGTGCTCCGAGTGCTAAAAATGGCGGGATTGCCGGCCGTTCTGAATAGTGCTGGATACCAGTGATATAAGTCAATATAAAGTGATAGTTATTCATCCTTCAGTTGCGTTTTAGGTCGCGAATTGCTGCTACGGGGTCTATAGCTATGTACTCGCTGACGCAAAAATTGGCATGAGTAAATTTGATGTCAGTGCTCCTTTAACAACTGAGCCACAGAGGAGCTCTTCGTTTAACGTTCAAGCAGCAAGCTATTCATGTCATGGAGGAAAGAAAAATATAGGAGAGGCCATGAAGTCATATTCGAGAAGCCGCCGCATCGCAAACACCCGCACTACCTCCTAGCAGAAA